GGCACTGTTAGCCTAACATGTAAACTAGTTGTTCACACTAATCCTAATATTATCAATTAATATTAGCAAATTCTAGGGATGTCCCGATCACCTTTTGTTGCTCCCGATCCGATTCCGATCATTTGATTTTGACAATTTGCCGATACCGATTTTTCCCGATCCGATCTTTATGAAATGCATTAAGAGAAAAAAAAGAATCTATGTCTATGAAAACAAGCCCCAAAGAAGCAACACATACATGATGTTGTGTCATTTGAAACATAAACTAAGGCCTCAGGATGACTTTAAGACTTGAACATGGTCATTTTTGTTTTGTAACAATTAATAAAAAAAAAAAAAGTATTTAAAAAAAAAAAAAAAATCCCGATCCCCGATTTTTTTATCCCGATTCCGATCTTTTCAAAATCACGTTATCGGCTCCGATCCCCGATCACGTGATCGGATCGGGACATCTCTATTGAATACTGCTTTCTATTCCTCCATCTTGTGACTGTGTAACTCCCTCTCTTGGATATCAGCATGTGAAGGACACTGTTCAGGAACTAGTTGATGCTCTGTATGTGATGACTACTTCCATTCTGGAGAGGATCACAGATACATGGATCCTGAGATTGAAGCTCAAGCCGGGGACCAGTGAGATTTTTCTAACAGGGGGTTACTTGGGAAATGTTTATAATAATGTATTAACAGAAAGGATAATAATTGTACTCGTATAGAGAACCCTGATCTTCATGAATAAGTAAAGTGAACACATGTGAAAGGTTCCGACCTGTTTTGACCCCGGTCTCCTCCTCCAGCCCCTTGTAGAGACCATTGGAGTAGTTTGCCATTTGACACTCGATGGAAATAGGCTTGGCCACGCTGACAATGCCGGCACACAGTCGGGTTGTTCCTGCACCGAGTCTGACAACATATCAGAATCAGAATACTTTTATTCCTCCCACAGCGGGGACATTTACATTTATTAAAGCAGAAAAGAGACAAACAGCTTAATATTAACTAAGAAGCATGCAAAATATTAAAGATGCAAAAATTTAAATAATTACACAATTTGCATAATACATATTTGTAACAGTTTTGAAGATATAGCAGCCAGGTATATAAACGGCATATATAAATTGCATATTAGCAGCACATGCAGTAGGCCTACAGCATTAGAAGAATACCCGATCAACAAAATAGTTTGCATGCAGCTCAAGCCCCCCCCCCCCACGAGACATCCCCAAAAAGTCAGACAAGTATTAAAATAATAATGTGTATTTGTATGTATAACAAAAATGCATGTGCATGTGTGCTGAAAAACACAACTGTGTGTATTTGTATGTATCTATATAACATTTATTGACATCTGCTCTGCAGTCTCTGTAGAAGCTTTTTAAAACACTGCTGAAGAGCTATCTTCTGACATTGGCTTTTGTTTCTACTTGAGATGTGTGTGATGTGTTCTGTTCTTGTGTCTGCTCCTCTCAGGACTCCACGTGGTCTGTGTTGTTATGTTGACCTTCATGTCTGCCTCATGTTGTTATTGTATTCATGTTTCTGTGGTCTTCATTTGAACTTTTGTTCTTTCTTGTGAAGCACTTTGTGAATTATATTTCTGTGAAAGGTGCTATACTAAATAAACGTATTATTATTATTACTATAAGAAGCATGAGCATGTATAGAAAAACAGAGTGGAAAACTGATTGAAAACAATAAAGCTCCATTTTCTATCTTCTTCAGATAAATCCCAGTAATCTCACCTGCCCTGCTCCAGCAGCACGATATCAGTCCAGCCCAGTTTGGCCAGGTGGAAGGCTACAGACGAGCCCACGATGCCGCCCCCACAGATCACCACCCGGGCCTGGCTGGGAAGCGGCAGCAGCGTGGAGTCCCCCCCCACAGCCAGGCAGGGCGGGGAGGTCCAGAGGCCCCGGCCGGCCAGCCTGTAGCCCGTCTGAGGGAGCAGCCGAGCGGGGCGCAGCACGGGGGACAGAGCCCTGGAGCTCCGCACACAGCTGCACATCGCTGTGCCGTCTGCAAACACAAACACACACAGACACACATACTTGTAAAGCATTCAATTATTCAATGTCAACACAACAAACGTCACATAAACAAAATAGTTAGTGCTATCTTCAGAATCAGAATACTTTTATTCGTCCCAGAGGGGAAATGTACATTGTTATAGCAAAAGTAAAGCGCCAAAAATAGCAAAATATTAATTAAAAAGGCATGCATATAATATTCATGGTCAAAATTGAATTTACAAAAATACACATCCAGGATGACAAGAAAAAGTACCAGTAACAGTATGTATAATGTGGTATGATAGCAGCTAGGTAACAGTAGTACAAGTTATTAACACATGTATTACAGTACTTGAATTGTCTAACTAAGAAATACCAGCCAGTAATAATAATAATTTTAAAAGTGGTAAATATATATATATTGCACATAAGTGATATTGCACCACAGAGGTGTTATAGTGTGTGTTGTTATTTGTGTGGTGGTCAGATGTGGAAGAAGTACTCAGATGCTTCACTTAAGTAAAAGGTAAAAATACTATGGTCTTAAGATACTACTTAAAAGTAAAAGTCATTATTTTGACTTAAGTAAAAGTACAAAAGTATAAGCTTAAAGATGTACTTCAAGTACAAAAAGTAAAAGTACTCATTATGCAGAATGTATCTCTTCACAGTATTACATTATCAATGTTTGTCAATGTTGACCAAATGTAGATACTTGAAATACTATGTACATTAGTGCAGTACTGCATTATACTATATCACCATATAGTGTGTTTTTAAATGTCAAAACTAACTAGTTACTGTGAGTGTCAAATACATGTAGTGGAGTAAAAGTACAATATTTGCCTCTGAAATGTAGCAAAATAGAAGTATAAAGTAGCTTTAAATGGAAATTGTCCACCACTGCGTCACTGTGTTGTGTATACAAGGTTACATGAACATATCAGTCAGTGCTATCTTTATTTATTGTGTAGTTGTTTGAAAACTAACTAACGTAACGAATATATAACGATGCCAATTTCAGGTTAGCTCAACTAACGCAGACATTACATTTCAACACAAATGGGGCCTGTAAAGCCAGCAAGGTTAACTCAACAACAGTCCTTCAGGTGTCATAATTATATTACAGACTCAAGTTAGCTCTACATATAAGATTTCCCTTTAGCAGCAAAGCTAGCTTTAGCTCTGTAAATTATCCTGCAACTGTATATTTAAGGTAAAGCGCATACGCTGACCTTGTCATTCCTAAAGTTAGGTTAAACTTAGGTGACATTATGTGTATTTGTGTAGCTCTTATGGTTAAAGTTAGCGTTAGTGTTACCATGGATGTATAAGAGTGGTCGCTAGCATAGCTTATGCTAACGAGAAGCTACTGTTGATTATTTACCCAAGTAGCTAAACGTAAACAGTTGAGAAAACGTTCTCCCCACGGCGATTCCTTTTCTTTAAAATAATGATATGAAACTCACCGAATCAGACAAATCCAGACGTATCCTTAACTCAGAAGTCAATAATAACTGTGATTAGACAGAAAGTCTTGTTATGGTACTGCAGTTATAACCGATGTCAACTGCTACTTCCGGTCCAACCTTTCAAGATAAAACAATTCTGCCCACAAGTGTTTTTTTGCGTTGCAGTTGTATGTCATTATTAAACAGTGTTTTGTGTTGACTGGACCTCATTACAATTAGAGGGATTTCTTAACTGGAGACAATAAATTCAGTTCATGCACCTGGGTAAGCTAAACCTAATGTAGCCTCTTATAGGCTATTGTAGCTTACAGTCAGTGAGAGAAAGTAACTAAGTTCATTAATTACTTGTTTTTCTTTCCACTACATTGTTATTGCATGACTGTAATTACTAGTTACCTTGCAGATGAATATTTAAAAACCCATAACGACCATATAAGTGTATAAACATGTACAAATATGAAACACATTTATCTTAAACCAAAAACAAGTATCATTATGGCTGCATAAAAAGTAACGTTTATACTATAGCGACCCTGTATAGGGTGCTGGGTGTGTCACTCAAGCATCCCCTGCGACCTGTAACCTGTAACCTATATCTGTATGCGATCAAAAGAGTTATTACATC